AAAGTCTTAAAAATATTTTAAACCAACATGATAAAAATTGTTTAAACCAAAGTTTCAACATAATCTAAAATGGTAAACATAATCTCAAAGAACCACACTCATTCCATGGTGTATAGTATCCACTTTGAGCGCTCTTCAGGTGACATTTTCAGGAATGCATTTTTCATTCCCAGCTTATGAACCAGTCCAAGTGCTTTGTAACGAGCACGATTATCCAAGTTCAGAGTCTCCTTGATAGCATATCCCAAACATTGTTGGTTTTCTCTCTCTCTTTCTCTCTTTTCTCCATTAGGCTATGCATTCCTCGAATTTTAGTGGTAATTTCAGAAATTGAATCCATGCCCACATAAACTTTTTCTACCAGTTCAGCTCGAGTTATGGTCTCAACTGAATTATTATTTGCTTCAAACTCAGTTTTAGGTTTCTTTCTTGGAGGGAGCTTTTCTAATGGAGCTTCCAAATTTGTGTCTAGAAAAGGTGATGAAGTAAAATTACCAGACGACAAAGATTGGTATGATGTTTCATTTTGACTTGGTACAAATGCCTCATTGGTATCTTGCAAATTGGTAGGTCTACTTTCTCCAACTTCATACGTTCTAGCATCGGTATCATCACCAAGTCCAATTGAGTTTTTCCCAGCAGCTGTTCCATTGCCAATTGCAATTACCAAATCCTCATAGTCTGCAAATGTATCTCTTTGAAGATGCACTTGACTTGGGTGGGACTAGCAAAAACCAAAAATAAAATAAAAAAATTAATTACATGCAAAAAGTACAAAAGTGAAAGTTCTCATTATAAAGTAACATTTTAACAAAATTGAAATCTTACCTTAAAGTAATCTTGCCATACTTCTTCAGTAGCTGTGAATTTCTTTGAGACGGAGTCCCACCCAAATCCAGAACTATGACGCATAAGTTGAGTAAAACTGTGATATCTTGTCTTAAACCATTTCAGACGACTCTGATATTGATGATAAGTTTTTTGGCATCCAAGTGTTGCATTAAGAACAGGAAGTATCTTGCTTTCTACTATTTGCTTTCTACTATTTGCTTGCTTAGCAAACCATTAGAATCGCGCCATCCACGGTTGGCAGCATCAACCATTAGTTCTAATAGCATATTACTCTCTTTCGAGGTCCATGGGTTATAAGATGTTTTTCCTTTTCCTTGTTGTGAATCTCCCATTTATAATGTTACTAGATAATACATGCAATCTTTAATTAGTTCATAAGAAAATATATATATATATATATGAAGATGCATTTTTCCCTTTCGTTTTGGCATCGACTAGATATATATATATTGTATATTGATAAAGAAGGGAAACACAGAACAAAAAAAAAGAGATGATTGTAGAAAAATTACAGAAACAAAAAAAATAGGATGATGTAGAAAAATTACAGAAACAAAAAAAAAATACAGCAACCAAAAAACTATTAAAGAAAAAAAAAACAGCAACGAAAAAAAAAAAAAGCAAAAGCAAAAGCTATTAAAGAAACTTGTAACGTTTGATTTCTTCAAAAACAAATAGGAAAGCTTTTGCAGCTTGACCAAAAAAGAAGGGGAAAGCTTTTGCAGTAACAAAGCATATAAATAGAGAAGCTTTTCCGATCGGTA